CCTTTCAATGAGTACTTTACTAAACAGGGAGGGCGGTGCCAGTACTGCTAAGCCCACTGGGAAGAACACATGTTGCTAACTTCATTGATGTGATATATCAGTACAGAAGTACATAGTTTAGAATAAAAAGTTAGAAGTGTGTAGGCTTCATGACCTTCAAGCGTTTCCTCTGGTGCTCTCAGACTCAATGAGCACAGAAAAACAGTATCTGAATTCTCACCAACACTCCTACTAGATCTTAAGGAAAATGCAAACAACTTGAATCCAACGTTTTCAGAGAAGCAAGAAAACCTGTATAGTAGGTATAGTATATATATATATATTTAGTAGGTATACTATATATATATGTAGTATACCTACTAAAATACCCAGAAGCTCTAATTTTGTAGGAGTGTACATGTCTTTCAGAAGTAATAGAGTGTATGTGCATGCATTTACACTTACATCTGATTTTTAGCCGCTTGCCTCTGAGCTTTCCGTTCTTTCCTTTTTTGATCTGGTGGCTTAGCAAAAACAATTTCAATGTTTTCTCCCTCTAAATCTTTGCCATTCATTTCTTCCATTGCCTGAAGGAATTAACCAGACTTTAAATATACTTCTAAGCATATCTGAAGTTATTAATTTTATTCTATCTTTAAGAGCATGCATTTTCAAATTTGTTATCCAGAGCTAAAATAACAATATAAAGCTAAAAAAAAAAAAAAAAAATTAATCAGACAGCAAAGTATCATGGGTTCCAGAGTTATGCATTTCCTCTTAACTTGGCTCTCAAAGCCAAGACTGCATGTATCAGTTTAGAAATCTTCCACTCAAAACTGTAAACAGGCTTCAATCTTTGCCAGCTGTTTCAATTAATGAAGTGACAGAACTGTCCTCTGAAAGTACAGATTTTGCAATAAGGGAATAAATCTCTACTGTCAGTACACATGCAAACACTACTAAAACTAGAGATCAGTATATGTTTTTATGCCTTTATTTTATTTGTAATAAACATAACTTTATTTTAAAAGCAGAAGCCAAAAATTAGAATTTAACACTCTTATTCTGACCACCAAAAAAACCCCCAACAACAAAACAAACCCCAAACCCCAAAAAACTTCACCAAACTACCACCACCAAAAGAAAACAGAAACTGACAACAGTAATTTCCCACCCCCAGGTACAATTCTCACAGGTCTCAGTAACTGCTACAAGTTAAATTCAAGCAGGGGAATCCTAAAGATTGTACCACTTTTAGGGACTCTACATGGCTAAGCCTTGATGGGATACATATCCTATGAAAATACTCTTTCCATCATCTTCCTAAGCGTCTGCTTTAAGGCATCTGTATGAGTAAGAAAAACTTAACCCCTTTGTATACTGCATCCTCCCACAGAAGATAAAAAACAGACTATAGGCAGGAAAGGAATTAAACTTTCCCTTCCAAATGACAGATGACAAGAGAAAAACCATCAAGACCAGGCTAGTAAAATCCAGGAATGACAATTACTCAATTATCCAGCACCCCTCATCAAAAAAGAAATGGTGCTTATTCCACACCATAAAAGGAAGTCATTCTGTTCCTGGAAAATTTAAAAAAAAAAAAAACTAAGTTTTTATCACCTGCCCTACAGAAACTGCTTTAGATTCTACCAATCATCTGGTGAGAAGATTCATGCAACTTCTGGCACTTCAGTTTCAAATTATAACCTTGGATACTCATCAGCAGAATTACTTCTGATAGGTGCACCTAAGATCCACTTTTCAAGCTAGCCACTGTGCCTGCCTAGGAGACACCCAGAGAGGACAAAGTTCTTGGTGACAATGTGTTACCATTTCTCCAGAGTAAGCTTTTTCTCAAGTTAAAAGAACTACACAGCTTCTAAATGTTATGTTTAGTCACTACTTACATACGGCTACAGTCCTCTTCACTTACCTTTACAGCACCATCCCGTTCATCAAAATGAATGAAAGCATAGTCTTTTAGCTTCTTCACTCGCTCTAGCTTTCCAAATTGACTGAAGGCCTTTTCTAGTATCTCCTCTGTTACAGTATTGGCAAGATTGCGCACAAACAAAACTTTTACCTTAAAAAATGACAACAAAAAAATTCATTAGAAAAGTATTACCTACTTGCAAACCACAAAATTAAGTTTTGCAAGTCATTACTATTGGCAGTACTGAAAACATGATTGCATTTTATGTACAGTGTTTTATATGCATATACATGAATATGTATATTTACATATTCATACAGCATGAGTCAGTTCTAAAACTCACTGACTGACAGCAATATTAAATGTTTTCAAACATGATTACATAAGTATTAGTATCCTGAAAGTCAATCCAATTTGTGTTAATGTTTAAAAGAATCCTAGCAGCAGTAATTTTCAACTCTGAACACTTTCAAACTTGAAAGAAGGCAACCAGGTTTGGTTACGCACAAAGTAATTAACTTATCAAAACATTTCATTGTTTAGACAGGTTTTTGCTCAGGTATTTGCAGAACAGTCATCACTATAATATCTAGGTCAGAGGTGACAGGCCTGTAGCTTTAAAGCTGCTTAATTTGTGGCTCCCATGCTATAGCTACACCAAGTACCTAGCATGAGGACTGTGCTTGCCTGAGGAGCACGCAGTGACTGGAATCCACAACCAGAAGAGAGAACACAGAAGGGGATACTAAGGCTGACACTGCCAAATCACCCTTTGACAAATCAAACTGTGTCCCTTGAGGAACAGCCACCTCCAAATAACTATGAAAGCCTATTCCCTCCCCCAGCTCTCTAAAGTATGCAATATGGCTTTTAAGCTCCACAAAGACTGCCATGCAGCTTGTAAGATCAGAGAGCTTGGTGATCTTTCAACTACTGAGATACGCCCTGTTAACTGCCTGACAGTGACTAAATCATCAATATGAAGTTTCATCAGCCACCAACTGCTTACAATAAAAGAATATACAGAGAAGTCTGACAAAGTCTTAAACTAGACTCTTATTTAACACCGCAGACAACATACACTGGACACCAGGAATCGCATGTATTAGTGATCCATTACTATTCAAAGACTTGTCCTTACGTCCACAGTGAGGTTGCACTAAATGACTGTACATTAACACGACATCACCCATGAGTTCTTACAATTTACAAGCTGCTCTGACTTGCTGGGCAGACTCCCTTCCATATGCTGCCACCTTGCCCTGACAGTCTCATCACCTCCTGCTGCCAAAGAATGCTCAGTCTTACCTTCCTACGATGCACCTGCACATCAGCTGCAAAGACCTGCAACTTCTGTTCACATCCCCTCTGCTACTAGTGGTTTCAAATTAGCTGATGATAGATATTAAGTGAACATTGTACATGGCAGCACTGACTTCCCGCTCCTAACCCTGAAGGTCAACACAAATCACACAGGGTGTGAAGAGACCAAGGAAAGGATACTTTGATTTTTCAAGTAGAGCTATAACCTCTACTCCCACCACATACAGGAACTCAATAAACTCAGGCAGCCTTTTTTATAAGAATTACTATGTAATTAAGTTATAAATGAACAGGACAGACTTCTGTAAATCTTCGTCTTACTCGCTAGCTGAACTAGGAAGGGATGCAGAGTTTGGAAGAAGGGATACTACAGATCATAAATCTGATGCAGTGCATCAACTCTAGCCATTGGCAGTAGTTACTCTTGCAGATTCTCAGGAGGTTATAAAAGTCACAGTCAGCTCCAAAAGGAAAACTGCCTCCTACCCTGTGTTAAGATTCTGCATGCCTTGATGGTAAGAGCAACCTTTATTTCTTGGAACCCATATGTAAAAACCATTTTTAGTAAACTGTCCTAATTGCTACATTAACCTTATTTCATTAAAAATAATTACAGGAAGTTTTGTGATGTAATCAATGGTTTCAAAAAACAGTAACTTTCAAACAAATGTTCCTTATTCTTGTACTTTAGGGAAGGATGAAAACTAGAATACCATGAGGAACCCTAAGTAACCTTCACTAATAAATCAGCAATGACTGGCAGTGTCAGATGTAATTAAAAACCTCAAAAATCATCACTTTGTTGAAAGATGCACTGACATAACTTTTTAAAACAATTAAAAAGCAATTAATTTTTTTTCCAGTGTAGACAAATCAATTAATCCTCAACAGCTGAAATTTTTTAACACCTTTGGTCATGTTACAGCTTAAAAGTACAGCTAGCTGAACCAGTCAAAGCTGTCAAAGCTAAGAAGCGGGTTAAAACATAGGCTGAGAGAAGATGAACCTATTTTTACTTCAATTAAGCTATCTAAAGAGGGAAGCGGGGGGTGGAAAGAAGGAAGTCCTCTTCCTTAAGGCTTATAGATTACAACACCAAGGGGATTCATGAATACACACCTAACAAGCAACACAGCCAACAGCAGCACTGTCATGAAGGCAGAACTCGCTTTTAAAACTGCTTAAGATTAGACTATCCTCAAAACTTCTAGGATCTGCTCCTTTTCCTCCTCTTACCTACAGCACAAACACTTCAGACTTCACTACCATATTCTCCAAGGGTTACTAGCCCTGTCTTCTGTCCTGTAATCTACCAGGCAGCCACAAGTGTAAGACTTTATTCCCCCCCCCCCCCTGCCACTCCAGAATGTCCTCTGTAGCCTCAGCCATGCTATAGAAATCAAGTATTATTTATCCGCACTACAGGTGTAAGAGGCATCAAAATAACACCTAGGAGAAATTAAGTTATAACACAGCTACTGAAAGTTGGGAAAAGTTCACTTTGGACTAGAAATCAACCACTTACACAATCATACTCTGATCTATCAGTACAAGCACTAATCTCATGTAGCACCGAGGTCTAGCTTCAGAATCTAGCTTTCTACCTCATCACACTCAAGGTACTTCATATTTACGTTAACAGCCCATTTAGATGTTAAGTATACATCCATACAGGTCTCTCCACAACACTTAAGCAAAAGTCTAGAGGAAAAAGGAAAAAAGGCTCGAGTAAACATTTCAGAAATTTAAATTAGTAGCTATCCATATATTGATGAAATGACATGCTGCTTCTGCAAGGTATTTAGAACAACGCTGTTCACCTTCTGGCTACAAAGGTGAATTTGTCTTCCTCATAGTTTGCTCTTACAGACCTGCTTTTCTAGAAATCCTGACAAGAAAATCTCCAATCAGATGATTATTCTGATAAAAGCAACCTACTCCTCTTATTTCCTCTGGAGTTTTCTACCACAGGAATGTGTAAGACAACAAGGTCAATAGCTCTCCCTTTGCTCTGACTGACAGTATCCAGAAACAACAGTAGTCAACCTGCAGCTCACATCTGGGAGATTACTGACTGCAGCAGTAGCTCAGGTGCAGCAATAAAGAACAGAAAGTAAACCTAACACTTCCAGAAGTGCCAGATGTGAACAGTTTCTCCAAATGTACAGTAAGTGTGCAAGAAAGACTGGAGCAGAGACTTGCCTTGTTCCAAGAATAAACTAAGGGATGCAGCCAGTGAGAAAGGTCAGACACCAATGCTTGTCCCAACTTCTGCCTTCAAACACAAGCTAGATGTTCTCTACTTTTTCAGTATTCTCATTCGCAGTCTCACTTTTCCGTATGTCTTCAACCCAGGCTCCATGCCCTACCTTTGGCACGTGGCACAGCAAGTATACAAGTTTATTTTCTGCACATTTTCTGTATTTATGCTTCTTCCCTTTTTATGTCCCATTTCAAATACAAAACAACGTAAGGCATTGACACATTAAAAAAATGGTATGTTAAATGAGGCAAACCACTATCAGGCTTTACTTTCTCTAGTCTTTCACTCCCCACATCTGTAAACTTACTTAGGAAAGGTACCTGATTATGTTCCCTATCACTTCCTGCTCATCTATTCAGTCATGTCAGCAGAAGTTCCTGCTCGTTTATTTTAACTGTTTGCTGGATTAGGTCTCTTCTCTTTTGAGCCAAGAAGCTGAAGAGATAGATAGGCCACCATATTTATAGGAAGTGCCACCTTCGACAAATTTTACCTGCAAGACTCCTCCCTACTGCTGATAGTCTATGATGCTGGGCAAGAAAAATCAAGTCTGCAGAGAGGGTAGTCCAAAAGCTTCTGTAATAACTGCATTACAAAAGCAGCTTTTTCCCTAAAATAAGCCCCCACCCCAACCCTTTTCCCTTATGGCTCACCAAAGAGGAGATCCCAGCCAAGCTATCTTACTAGGTCCATCAAAGTAGGACTCCAGCAAGTGACGTGTCTCAGATGAGAGTAAAAGCACAGATGAAAAGCAAGCAAAGAGAAAGAGATAAGGATATGGGCTAGCTAGGAGTTTCCATTAAACAACTCAGCTACACAACATAACTGAAAAAGACAAGGTTGGGCATTATCTGATGGAAAAAAAATTCAGATAATTCGTTTCTGGCAAAGTATCACACACACATATAAAACAACTGCTACAACGTACTTCAAAACGTTAACAGTCCAGGCTTCAGTTTCAGTGAAACATGTGAAACCCAAAATATTACTAGGCTTAGTATTTTACGGAATTAACTCCCCCCAAAATTAAAAATAGAGTTCCAAAGACAAAATAATTGCCTAACTTCTCAAAAGTAACTGCTAAAAGCAACTTTCAAAATACACTTGTGCATCTTGCTGACATGTTCTAATTCTAAAGTGATAGACAAAAGTTCCAGGGTTAAAAAGAACTAAGGCTTGTTCTGTGATTGTATCTAGACTTCCATCCCTCCAGATATTAAGCTAAAACACCATTTTAATTTTTGGAGTCACCATCACCACTTCCAGGCAAGAAATTAAGTATATCAGGCTTATGTGCCATTGTGGCAAGAATTATCTTCAACATTCAGCCTTGGGAGCACAAGATAACATCAGTCAATAGCTTTTAAATTCACATCAGTTCTACAGTGTATTCATATTTTTATCATCTCACCTGCAACACCTCTGCCAAGAAGGCTGGAAGATGCTATTTAAACTTCGGCTAATATCAGGAAGTACTTACTTTGGAACAAGGCACTTTTAAATGTATTATGTTTCCCTTATAGCTTTATTACCTTTGCCATGACTTCAGGATCTGGGTCTTCTATAGGGTCAGCCCATTCAACGGTAACAACATTTCCCCAGACTTTCACTTTGCCACTCATTAACCTACGTCTGGCCTGAGCAGCAGTTTTGTGATCTTCATATTCAAGGAAACAGAAACCCCGGTTCTTTTTCTTGTCATCAGGCTGATGATACAATATGACATCTGTAAGACCCTCTGGAATTAAGAAAAATATTTATTTGTTATGGCTTCAATCCATGAATTTGTATTATAAAGTAGAGATTATCTTTCTGGTAAGTATGCATCTGACGAGTGGTTCCAGAAAAGCATGAACACTCTAGACTCTTGAGACCACATATATAATAAAATTTCCCTACCTTCAAGACCAGTATTTTCAAAGAGAGACATTAGACTATCCCGAGGAATAGATGAGGAAAAACTTCTTTGAGAGGGACAGAGCACTAGAACAGGCTTCCCAGAAAGACTGTGGAGTCTCCTTCTCTGGAGATATTCAAAACCTGCTTGGATGCAATCTTGTGCAACCTCCTTTGGCATGGTTGGGTTGGACTAGATCTCTAGAGGTCCCTTGAACCCCTACCATTCTGTGATTCTGTGACTTAGGTTCCATTTTTATTAACTGAAGAAAGCTTAGTAGCTATGGAAGAGTACCTTTCCTCTAACTGAATGAAGAAGAGGTAAGGGCAGACAAAAGTTGTGCTTTGTCAGTTCTCCTCTCAAATCCCTACATCACACCACTTATCAGCGTGTGTTTTCCATGTATGTCTAAACAACAAGAGATCAAACTTGAATGATTTTAAGACACCTAGAAAGTTTCAGTGTTGCTCCAAGGAACCTGAAGTATATCATTCAGTAACAGAGAAAGCCATCAAATGTTACCTTTGCCAGTTTATATGTCTACATCAAAAAGAGATCCTTATCAAATCACTAAGAATTCTGAAGCACAGAACCAGTTACGTTCTCCAACCTACTTCAGTTTTGCCCTAAAGTTTTAAAACATCCATTAGTATTGAAATAATTAAACCACCTATTTCTTTGAGTGGCTTTTTTAAACTTTACATGCTTATTCTCAGGTAAAACTTGGAACCACACATCTAGTCTAATCACAAATATTTCAGCCCTCAGTACAATAGTTAAAAAAAAAAAAAAAAAGGAAACAAAACCAAAAAGCAACACCTAAAAGTCAGGACAAATGCTGAGTGGTCTTCGTTTGGATTCATCATCATTCAACCGTAAGCCAAAAGATGGTGAGGGGAATTAATAACAGATCATGTTTGATGTCTCTTCAGCTCTACAAAACACAATTATTGACTTACCTGTTACTTTGCCAAATTCTTCAACAATTTGCTCCTTGGTTTTACTCTTAGGAATAGAACCAACAAAAAGCCTATTATTGGCAACAGAGATGCAAACACCAATGTGTTTTCCAGAACGTATCTCGTGGTTGTTGTACTGAAAGAAAAATAATTAGAGCAGCCATCAGTTACAGATAATTTTCACTCCCCTCCAACAGCAGCATACTAAATATTTTACTTTTGCAAACATAGCATTTACTAATATATTAAATTATTTGGAGCTTAACACATTCTTATGATGCATATTAAACTGTTCTGAAGTATATCCATGTTCTCCAATATATCTCCACAATTTCAGCCAACAATTTTTCTTCCCTTCTTGTTCAAGCCTCTTTCTGAAATATTTAGTACAAAGAACCATGAAAGGTAAATCTTATGTCCAAGTCATCAAGGTCAAGGTTTTTCCCTTCACAACAGTGCAGAAAAAAATGCAAGTTCCTCTGTAGATTTTATCTATGAATTCTTGAATTGTGTATAATACAAGAGGAGTTACAATTGAAAGTCAGATTCCATTCTAAAGTTCCATAGTTAACAAAACAGAGAGTCACAATCAGGTCTTCTCCACACAATGTGGAGGAGCAATTGGCAAATACTTTACAAAGCACATATATTACATATGTGAAGATAGTAAACACCAAGAACAACCTTCTACTGACTTGAAATCCCAAGACTTCTGTTCAAATATTTCTCCTGTAACAGACTGTTTAGAAGACACTCTGAACAAGTCAGCAGTTTAAAGGGGGGGGAAGTATTACTGTAGACATCTGTTGACAAAAAATGCCTTTCACTGAGATGCAGACACAGACATGCATCATCCAAATAAGCAGCAGGGAGGTCAACCAGTGGTACATCAACCTCTTTCCAACTGGAAGCCCTGCAACAGACAGTTCTTTAGCTAGCAAAATGTATTTTGTGGTCAACATCTTATTGACAAATAGCAGGATAGCTTTTTAAAAATTAATCTAGCTATTTAATCCATGAGTTACTCTGTGTTTGGTGGTAAACCTTCCTGCATAAGCAAGTTCTCCCACACCCCTTCTTGCTTTGTGCATTAAAATCAAGGTGATTATATTTATTTATATTTATCTCATGTAAACAAAACTACATCACTGAAAATTTTCAAAGCTAGTCAACTGCACCAAAAGCTAGCTAAAAGGAGAACTGTACATGTGAGATGGATTTGGAGTGGCATTTTCCCAACTAATTATGTCTCAAAGCATAGTAGGATACAGCAAAAGACCTCTATCTCTGTATCTATTGCCCATGTGTCAAGAGGAACAGTTGATTTTAAAGTACAAGACAGCTGCATAGGAAGACTATATATGTATGATTATAATCACTAATAAACAGACTCACATTAATGAAGGGACAGACTACACTAGCTCAAAAAAAACCCAACAAAAAACCAAACAACGCACCTTCTGACAGTTTATTAGTCTGGAAACAAGACACAAACTGATCCTTCATTCACTGAAGTGTACTTTAGGAAACATTTCTTTACATTAGGAAGCATTTATTTACTGAGGGGGCAGTCAAACACTGGAGCAGGCTTCCAAGAGAGGTGGTCGATGCTCCAAGCCTGTCAGCACTTAAGAGGCATTTGGACAATGCCAGTAACAACATGCTTTAATTTTTGGTCAGCCCTGAAGTGGTCAGGCAGTTGGACTAGACGGTCACTGCAGGTCCCTTCCAACTGAACTATTCTATTCTATATGGATAATAGAAGATACTATCCCATTGTTTCTGTTAAAGTCTAAGACCAAAGTCTGGCTACACGTTTAATCCAAAAAGAGCCTCTCGTACAACTCACAGCAATAAAACAGTATTTCATAACATAAAAATTTTAAAACATTCTACCATATTGCAATTACACACTGACAGTAGCTTCTAGTAGTTTTTTCATACTGCAATACATTCACTACTACTTTTCATTGTACGTTTCTCTTAACACAGAGAAAACGGTCCTGAATTAGGTGCTCTTGAATATAAAGTTGGTGTTTTTTAGGTAAACAGTTTGCGTGCTATCTGTAAACTTAGATTAGACATGCAGAGGCCCCAAATCATGATCTGGGCAAAATGCCAACACAGTCAGGCTACCAAATTAGCTATGTCAGCATACTGCTTCCCCCTCCTGTCACCACTGAATCAATGCCCAAAGTTAGTAACAGAGGTATCACTACCCCTAGACACTATAATAGATTTTTTTTTTTTTGACAACTTCTTTAAGAACCTGCTCACAAACAGATCTAAAGATGCTTAGGTCTGTGTCTTGTCATTTTATCCACTTAAACTATCACCAGTGATTTTAGTTTATTTCCAACAGCAAATGACAAGTTGTACTGCTATGCACAGCTGGCAAACTGCTTTCAGGGGCATATTTGCATAGTTCACCTGTACCTGCGCTTTGATCAAGCTTACACCTGCTCTATTTAAAAACACACTGTATACTACTATAGTTTTCAGTATGTTTTCCTACAAGCTTCACCTCACAAGTATTTATCCTGTACATGTGCACGGTAACCTTAATCACTCAGAAATGTTTTGCAAAACTGAAATCTAACAACTTCATATAAAATAGGAAGGAAAATTCAACACATGCAAAAGAACACACTAGTAGTTTTAAGTCTAACAAACAGTATAAAACAGAAGGTAAACACAAACATGTTAATAGTGAAAAAAATGCCTGGGGTTAAAAAAAGAAATTAAAAAATCAGACTTCTGATAGTCAGTGCTTTCTTTTATGAACATTTGATATGCCATTTCTACTTAACCAGCGAGAGTTAACCACATTGGATTAAATACTGGACATAAAATTAACTACTGTTCAAACCTGTAAGCCTTCTCAGTATCCGGCCATAGCATCACTCCATTTTTGTCTCAAGCAAAGCCCCAAAAGCATTCCAAACACAATTCAGGGAATTCTCCCCTTTCTTAAGTGTCTTAAAAACGCATATGCATCAACAAAATCAAGGCTTCGACCTCGTAATTTAAAAGATTTCTCCTTGTTAATGAAGAGGATAACTGAACTTAAAGTTTATCCAAAAATTTTAGTTCCATTTCACATTAACTTGCTATCAAGACTGTGGATTATACAAGAGCCATACAAATATGAATTGTACACAAAATATGTTACACCAACTGCAGGAGCCTGAAGACAGGTCAGTTTATTCTCTGCTGCAATGTAGGTACTGACAAAACCTCATAGCTGTCTCTTATTACCCCGAAGCCTACAAGCAATACAGAGATTCTAATTCTCATTTTTGCTATACTTCAGAGTCCTGAATGGAAAAAAATGAAAGCTCTGGGAAGAAGATGGGAAATAATATAACAGAAGAACCCCTGTCCAAGGGAGTCCAGAAAGCTGGGTTGTATATACATCAGAAGATTACTGGTAGCATCAAAAAATAACATCACCTATTAAAATACTAGGGATATTAAAATGGCTATGACAAAGGGTTCAGCATTTCTAAGAGGCCTTTCAAGCAGTCTCTCCCATGCATGTGTAACTAATACAAATGGTAGACCTATGATTTTCAACTAAGCTCCACAGCCATATTTTGATAGTACCCCTGCAAATCACTCCTAGACGACTTGGGAAACTTATACACTAAAACTAGCCAGCCAGTTAGGGCTGGAACCATTCAAAAGCTGACAAATGCCACAGGATCCAATTTAAAACTAACCCTGCCCTCAAGAGGTTAGCGTGAAGGCTGACAAACTGACCCATCAACCACAACACCTTTCTACTATTACACTCAGTGGCTACTTAACTGAAAAAACAGAATACAATGGAGTTTTTTTCCCCTGCATATCAAAGATCAGATATAAAGAGATACCAAGTATCTCCTTCCCTTATGTCATTTAGTGGAAGACTGAGGCTAAGATCTAACATCTTATGGAAACACCTGAATGACTTTCTAGATCATGCTGCCTTTAAGCAAAAACCAGCTAAGTGAAGAAAAATTCCTTTTTGTTCATTTACTAGGTGCTTCTGAGAACGTATCTGATCTGAGTCACTGTTTTTACTAAGTCATGTGCATAACTTAAAGAGTTCACACTCGATATAAATAGCTAGGTTGACAATGAAAGTACAAAGCAGTGTACACAGTTATCCTCAGTATATATGGATTGTGCACAGGAACACCAAGCATTCTTATTTAAAAAGCTAAACAGCATATACCAGATATTTTTGTACTTCCACTGTTGTAGACATTTCTATACCTTTTCAAAACCCATGTCCATCTTCAGCTTGATTTGTCTCCACCAGCTGACTTACAGTATTAATATGTCAATAGAGTACATTAATGGTTGAAGATGTACCTGATTACATAACAGAGACTTTAACCCTACTAGATGAATACCCTATCAGTACACCTCAGGAAGAGCACGGTTAGCACCCCTGAGGGACATACCTGCACACTGATCTTGGCCATATCAAAGTAGCAGTAACTAGCTAAAAAAAAAAAAAAGCAAATTCAACTTAACTAGGAAAACAAAGGAGCAGTGCAAGGATCAGGGTGATGTGTTCTTTCCCCCCTCTTTTTTCCTGATGGATACTTCACCCATAAATCCTGGAAAGCTTGTTAAGAGTAGCCTATTCCTTACACCAAACTATTTCACACTTCTGTGTAAAACAGAGAAAATGTTTTTTAACCTGTCAGGATCTATGACCTTTTCCAGTCAGTTGCAGCAAACAGAACAGTCCTTAACACTCCAGAGTGATTATTTCCCACCTGATGCAGCCTATGAAATGCTGTGATGTCAGAAGCCTTTTCCCAGCATGGGGCCCTCTGCTGGTGCACGAGCAAATCCGAAATCACAGACACTCCCTCCTCCCACAGCACCCCACGCACAGCTTCTCTCCACAACTCCTCCAGATGCAAACACCTCCCAAGTCACTACTGCTAATACAACATTTGTTAATAATAAAGGCTCATCTAGCTGGACCAAAAAGCAGTCCACTGGCTTTGTTTTTTTTTTTCCCTGTACCTAACACAGTCAGCTAAAATTTATATGCAATGTGGACATATTTAAAAAACACCTAGTGGAGATTTATGAAATGATCTAACAATCACAGTTTCATCTGAAGCATTAGGATCAGGACAACTGCTTATAAGACAGAGAGTGTCTTTAAAAAAAAAAAACAAAAATGCAAGTAAGAAAACTTACCAGTTTAACAGCTTCCTGAGCTGCCTCTTTAGTACAAAAAGTGACAAAAGCATATCCTCTATTTAGACCAGTTAGTGGATCCATCATTAAGCGGAGATCCCATATAGGGCCAGCTTTCTCAAATAATGGAACAAGCTCATCTTCAAACAAGTCTCTTGGAATCTTGCCCACAAATATCTACAACAGACATACAGAGCGTTGTTTATAAAAAAATACTTCCAATGAGTAAAAATACATCTACATAAACATCTCCTTACCTCTGTACCAACAGAAGGTTGTTGACCTGAATATACAGACTCTGGAGGAGGTCCACCATACTTTCTCTGTCCAGTAGTCACATCAAGAGTGTAACCAGTTCTCTCCAAGAGTGCCTTCAAGGAAGAAACTTAAAATTTTAAAATGGTATACAAATTGAGCTAGTTTAGGTGCACTTCATTCACAAACAGACTTGCTTATAATTCCTCTTAAACTGTACTGCTTTAAAAGTCCCACAGGCGAACAAGCCTACTGCTAGTACTTCAACAAGAAACTTGCAAAACAATTATTAGAGCTGTCAAGTAAGAAACACTGCTAGAAAACTAGAGATCCACATAGAGTTTCCCCAATTCCTTCATTCTCACACATGGAAAAAAAAAAAAAAAAAAGAGGCCAAATAATAGAATAGTGAGGTTCCCTTTAATGAGAAAGATCTCAGTCTGAGCTACTTCTTGCTTTGGCATGTCCAATCCTGCAAACATTTACGCACAGGAGTTCCCTTCACTTAATGAGATTACTCATAAGTGTGAAGTTAGAGAACACATGTTTAAGTGCTTACACCCCTGGAACACTGTACTGACTGCTGCAGGTATCCCACCACCGAGGTGGCAGTACTACCTCCTTTCTCCTATCCTCCCCCCACGTGCCTCAATTTCCTTGTGGGCACGCAACAGCATCCCAGCACAACTGATCCTCACTACAATCACTGCAGTTATAGATATACTACCACTTTTAAATGCTAGATGAAATTCAGTATGCAAATATATAATGAGAAACTCCACTGAAATTAGTCCTTCTTAATAATTTTGTAAAAAGACAAATCACTCTACACACAAAGAAACAGCATATTAAACAAGCCTAATTATAACCAGGAGAGAATCATTTCACAACTGGAAAATTAGAAAGTTATTTTAAATGTTACAGACAACAGCAGTAAAAGCTATGCTACTTTAAGTTAGTTAAACTACGTCTTCGTATCGTTGTTGTTTTATGAGGCAGTGACAAAACTCTTTCTTTAAAATTTGTAATTAATGGTATCCCAGCCTCAAAGTCAGGAGGAAAAAGATTTTCTAGTTTTGCAAGCTACATAGTCATTTTTAATATATTAGCACATTCATTTTGTAGTTTATACATGAAAAGTTAAAGATGAAAGATTCTCTCTTTTTTTAAGACATCAACTAAGCATGCTTAGGTGGTTTTCCTTTCCTTAAACCCTGGTAAAGCTGCTCATCATGGAATTTTAAAATAAATCATAGTATGTCTAACTCTCGAGACAGGAGTACCTTGCTAGCAGAAGACTCGGTCCAAGAAATAACACGTCCATTACTAAGACAGTTTGGGGTACAGTTTATGAAAACAGTGATTATGTCATAAGAAGTTGGCTAAATCCTAAAGCCACTGCAATCTGTCTTTTCAGACACATCGTATCTCCTCCCTATTGTGGAGTTGCTTTAAAGCTGAACTGAAGAAAAAAAAAAAATCTATGCTGTTAAGTTCCTGAAAACTTTTAACTGTGAAATAGTAGAACTGTCTCAACTAGACATAAAGCAAACTGTCAAATATTTTTCAATTTTATATACATTCAGTTCCAGTAATTAACCATACATTAAGTTTCCTCTTGAAGATGAAGCATAATTTCCTCTTGAAGATGAAGCATAAGATAAAAATGCAAGTGACAGCTTTCAAATAATGACAAATAATCTAAATCAGCCTTTTTTAGAAAAGCACAGTTCCAAAATAATCAACTTTTGTCACAAGGTATCTGTCACAACAGTTTTGAAAAACCACGGATAAACTGCATAACTTTTATCTTTTAGGCACATACCTTAATTTTTGCCTCATCTGGTCCTTTGCTAGAATCTGCCACCTTGGTCCCCTGTTTTTCCCTCTGCCTGTATGTCTTCATGACTCCACATAAAAAGGCACTTTTGTTCTGCAAAAGATATTTTAATCTTCAGTTCTGCAAACATGACAAGCCAGAATCTAATTTTACGGTGAACTAATATAGCGCCCATTTTACATATCACATATGGATCATCGAAGAGACTTAAGCAAACCTCTTGCCAGTCAACTAGCAGTTTATCCCTCAACAATTATATTTTAAATTGCTTAGCATTACCTGAACATGTGAGAGATCACTGTCTTTAAACTGCTGAAGCACTGCCAATGCACCTTCTTCATTAAATTCCTTTAAAGCTTCAATAGCTCGTTCATCTAGATCACTATGTGCAACTAGTCCTAGAGAAAAGAAAAAAATCACTAATGAGATTTGGGTAGCAATCTTTGTTGAACCACATTTCACACGTCTAACACATTTCAGTGACCGCTAAATCAATCACTGACAACGTAAGTTACTATATCTAAGAAATCACTTAGTCCTCTTAAAGGTAAATATTTACATGTATTTAACCTTTTTTTCCATCAAAAAGTGTCCAAAAAGTTAATATTCAGAGTAACAGTTACTGCATTTATGTATTTGTTTGACTTCTGTGAAGACCAGATGTTACATGGGCCAAGTTTCTTTTCAATATCCTGAAGCTGAATTCAGAAGCATCTATCAAAACCTGACTTAGCTGACTTAGCAATAGTACCTTGGTACATTTTGAGAAGACTATAAAACCAAATAAACTGTAGCACTAAAAGTGACCACCACAATCCAAAAATCAAGCTTAAAAAATGCTAGTTATTGCCATGTCTGAGAGAACCAATACAATAACCTTTGCATCCATAAGCCCAAATACTATGTCATGAAGTATCAGATGAGAAGATGAATACCAAGGTTTCCGTTACTTACAGCTACCTACAGCTACTGTAAAAAGACCACATCACTTACTCCTCCTAAAAATCCTCTGTTGCCTATTCCAGCTGCTGCTATGGTCACCTGCATACTTTTCCTCCTTCCCAACCCTCATCCCAAGTGGCGTGGCCCAAGACTTTTCTCTGAAAAATACTACAACTAATTAAAGTACTGAATGGAAAACATCCAGAAATTCTGGTTAAGACTGCAGTTCCCATACTTTTGGAAACCACAAAAAGTTGCTATTTTAGCCCAAAGACAGCAGAATCCAATAAGATATTGTAAGTGTGGTTTTGCAAGTTTTACGTCTTACCTGCAACGTAAATTTCATCTAGTTTTTCAGCAACTTTCTGTGGTAAACCAGCATCAAGCAATGTCTGGAAATGCTCAGAATGGGTAACTGCAGCAGAAGTATCCATAGGCTCTTCAGTACCATTCCCATTAACATGTTCAGTAGCCATGTTTCCAGATATCTGTTCAAATGCAACAAGCATCATCATCATCATTAAGCTAAAAATATCTTCAAGTAGAACAATTCAAGTGACAACACACACAACACACTGCCCTATTCTTACAAAAACAAACAAACAAAAAGACAAAAAAAAACCCCCCCAAACAAAAACCCAAGAGTAGACCACTTCCCTGATACTTTTTAGTTTTGGAAGACGCACAGAATTCCTCAAAAGAAGCACTAACACAAAGGAAAGCCCAAACACCACTGCCTAGCGGGGGTGGGGTAGCTTTCACTGCAGGTTTTACACAACCCAGCCAGACACTCTGACTCACCTCCCTCTCCCTGTCTCTCTAACACACTCCCTAAGAGGCTCCGAACAAGTTAGAAATGGAGCAAGAAGCCAACGGCGGGGGTGGAAGGAAGAGCAAA